CTCCCTCTGGCACTCCCGCTTCGGCCGAGGCCTTTCTAGCCTCTGGCACTCCCTCGAGGCTCCCGCCGCGGCCGAGACCTGCCTGCCCTGGCACTTCCTCTGGCACTCCCGCTGCGGCCGAGGCCTTTCCAGCCTCTGGCACTCCCTCGAGACTCCCGCCGCAGCCTCAACCATTCATTCGCCTGGCCGCTCACTCCCCATTCCAAAACGTGTTTTTGATCACCCGATCCGCTTGCTGTTTTCATTAACGTGCTACGTTTTTTTCTCCGTCGTGAACTCTTTTTATTTCACGACTCGACTCCTCTGATCGTCCATCACGGTGGCGCGTGAGTCACCCGCCGCGCGTGGAAATACTAATTTATACCCAGCAGGCGCGACCATCTACTGGTCTGTTTGTAAACAGAAGTCCGGGCTTCTCTCGCTCAATTGGCTGCGGAGTTTGGAAAGAGTAGCCGTGATTGGCCGAGATACGCTGTGGCGCGCTCACCATAGCTAAACAGCATTGGAAGTGGTCCTCGCCTCGCGCGCAGTATGCCCACGCTGAACCGAAATGTAGAAACAAGCGGGATATCCAGAGAGCGCGAGAGAAGCCTGTAGCCAGTGAAAGAGTCAGGGGGAATTCCTGGATAATAAAATAGAAAGATGAGGGGAGGGGTATACTAACTATTTCAAAGTCTCCTCCAACTTTTGCTGAAAGCACACTTAGAAAACTAAAAGCTTTCTCCAGATGCATTGTTCTAATCTCGATTTTCTTTTTAGGGAGAGAAGAAGCCTATGCTTCTGCCAAAATGCTTCAAGAAGCTGGTTTGGAATTTGATGTATGCCATACATCACTTTTGTCACGAGCAAATGACACACTTGATGTTATTCTCAGGGAAATTGGGCAACCCAATCTTCCTGTCTACAAATCATGGCGTTTAAACGAGCGTCATTATGGAGCCCTCACAGGGTTCAATAAGTTGCAGACTGCTCAGAAATATGGAGCTGAGCAGGTCAAGTTCATGATTCTTTGTACCTCATTAATGTTTAATTACCTAGTTTGAAAGAGCTGTCTTATGAAAATAAAACCTTTTTTTTTTTCTACAATAGGTTCAAATTTGGAGAAGAAGTTATGACATCCCACCTCCTCCAATTGAAGAAGACCACAAGTACTATAGTGCTATTGTGAATAACCCAAAGTTTACCCAGGAACTGAGTAAGGATGAGATTCCAAGAACAGAATCACTGAAAACAACTCTCCAACGTGTCATACCATATTGGGAAGATGTGATAGCACCACAAATTCGTCAGGGGAAGCGAGTTTTAATTGTGACTCATGGAACAAGTCTACGAGGTCTCGTAAAACATGTTCAACGTAAGTAATAAGTTTAATCTTCTCATATTCATGTTATGAATGTTAGATTTATGCTCAATTTGCTACATTTTTATTTTCACAGAGATGTCTGACGAAGTGATAGTAAAGCTCAACCTCCCGAATGCAATTCCGTTTTACTACGACTTAGATGAGAACTTGCAAACTGTTGGTCCCCTTCGTTTCCTGGCAGATGAAGAAACTGTTCGCAGAGAAATGGAAAAAGTGGCATCAATAGGGAAGTAGCAGGATTTTATATAGACCACTATAAGACTGATTTGTTTTACTTATTGTCTTACCTGTTCCAAAAGTTCAGGAACTAATTAATTTATAAAAGTTGTGTCACTAAATCTGATTCCTATGATAATGGAGTTATGTTTATTGAAAAGTTGTTCTCTGTTATGAGTATATTTTTAAGTATCTTCCGCAGAAAAGTGAATGCTACTCAGAATTTTAAGAATATACATAAGTAGTGTGAGACATTCTACGGACTGTATAAATTTGGTGTAAGTTGCATGGGGCATTTACTATTTAATTACTTTGAGGCAAGGTTCCTTGCCAAAATGTATATTTATAGGTACAACCTAGAACTTTAAAAGAATAGAAAGATAAAATTGAAAAGTAAATGTTTACTCTGGCTAGAGATATGAAGAACGATTGCTTAAACAAAAATTATTCTAACATTATTGATATGTGTATATAAATAACAAAAATATAATTTTACATAATATATAGAAATATATATACTGATCCACTTTATCATCTCACTTATAATTTTAAAACATCTGGGCCCACAACACAAATACTGTTTGTTAACATGTGCATAGTTAGATCGTGATCCAACTTCTGAAAATACTACATAACAGTACAAGTGCAGTTGCAAGGCGTAACTTCAGAGGTAATGAGCAGACAGTTAGATGGGCCGCAACTTTTCTGTGACAAATACGATTTTCCCTGGTTCATATCACATGAAGAATTAGGAACAGATTCCAACACAGCCTTTGGTACAAACTTATCATAGAAAGGAATCAGATTTATAATATCCCACAAGTCAGTAGTTAGAGAGACTATAAACAACATATGAATAAAATAGATTTATAAAATTCAAAAAAATAGAAACGCTAATATACTGAATAATCACAAATATGCTTGTCGTGTCACAATTACTTCATCATGCAGCTTATTAACTTTGGTCTCTTTTGATTGAGGTCATTAAATAACTTGAAAAGTAATTCCTAATTCCACAACAGTAAAATTTGTTGGTTGATCTCGTCAATATTAAAAAAAACAATAAAAACACATTTTAACTATAATATAAAAGATTGCCATAGGGCAGTTCCTTCTGAGCAAGTTTAAAACGGGACTATGTGTTGGCACAATACAATTTTGTTAAATAAAGTATTACTTGATCAAAGGCACTATGACGCTAAACAGCAAGCATTATTCTTGTTTGGGCTAGGACGCAGTTTGATAGAGTCATCTCGATTATGAATAGAGGGAAGGACACACTCATCTGCTATCAATTGAAAGAGCTCACCTAAAAAACACAAACGGTTTCGTGAGAATTGAGTGAAAAGAGAAACTTTGTCAGTAGTGGTAAAGTTAGATTTCTTACCAACATTGAGTCCAGTTTTGCTGGAGGTTTCCATGTAAACTGCTCCAATTCCTATAGCAAAATTACTTTGATTGGTATTCTCAGGTTAAATAAATAACAACACAATAAAAGATGATCAACAAACCTTTTGCATACTGTAATGCCTTCTCATGAGACAATGCTGGTGCTTTAATTCCATCATCCACAACATCTTTTTTAGTTCCACACAGGTAAATTTTACAGTCCTGGAAATATGACAACAACAAATAACTGAACGGTTGCATTAAATTTCAAATAAATAGATAAGAAAAGCTTGTGAATGCAATTGAAATTGTAGTTACTTTCCACAGATATGCCAGATAATTTAAATGAATTTTGAGGTGTTCTTGTTTAATAATTAAATATGTAGACCGCCAATACCTACCTCTTCATGGTTTCTCAGCTCAGTTATCCATTGCTTTGCTCGGTCAAAGGTTACCAGCTCCGTGAGATCAAAGCAAACAATTGCAGCCTTAGCGTCTCTATAATACAACTGACTCATAGCATAGTACCTGAACAGAAAGAACTAGTTTAAAACCAAATAGGGTGAAAATAGGAAGAAGATAGTAGATATTGCTATTACCGTTCACTTCCAGCTGTGTCCCAAATACCCATCACAAATTGCCTGCCTCTAGTTGATATAGTTCTAGATGCAAATGCCGCACCAATTGTCTTCAGGAACAGAGAAGAAACAGCATAAACAGAAAAGCATATAAAATAAAACAACCATTGAGTAAAATTATAAAATTATGCGTATCCCTCAGAACAATCATAGATCACAAATAAAGTAAAAAAGAAAAGAGAAGTGGAAAGGTCTGTTATGTTGGAACTCTTACATTTTGATGAGGTCTACATTGAAATCGATCTTGGATGTACCTCTTCATTAGACTAGTTTTACCTACATCTTCACTTCCCAGCAAAACAACTTTAAAATCAGCTCCACTCATGTTTAAAAGGAATGCATAAAAAGTAAACAACACAGAAACATAACCCCAACCCTACACGCTCTCTCTCTCTCTTTTCTTTGTTTTTCTTTTCTCAGCTGAGTCATTTGTTTCGCTCACCCCCTCCCCCTCCCCCCCTCTTCGAGATTCGAGAAATCGATTACGTGCTACTCTCGATTACAAGGTAGACAACTCTACCAAAATTAAGTCATTTCTTTTGAAGAAAGAATACTTCAAGCAAATCGCTTTAGAGAGGGGCTTTTTGCCATGGTTAATTATGAAGTGGTCGCGAATGATCAAGGCCTAAAAGGAAAATGTGTCTGTGAACATGTTTGCTAGAGATTTAACTTCTTCGTTGTTGCACCTCAGGGCGGTATTTTTCATCTAATTCAAAATTGCATGATAGAAGCAGATGCAAGGCAAGAAAGAATAAATTGTGTCCCCATATTTAAGGTGTGAAAGTGGTGGGGAAGAATGAAGGAACAATCTCAAGGAAATAAAAGAACACAAATATATCAGTCAGTATGTTAATTCAAAAATCATTTTTTTTCTTTGTTTTTTGAAAAAGTGAACTTTCATTCTAACACAATCAACACAACATTTTTTTAACACAATCAACACATCATTTAGAAGAAAAGAAGGAGAAAACATGCACATAAAAGTAAACTTAAGAGGAAAGTCTAAGGTACTACAGTAAATTCCAAAATAATAATCTTTCATATTAAAGCTTATCTAAAACATTGTAGGTAATTATGGCTTTATCTATGCAAAAACAACATACGTACTATCATACATACATACATGTTTCAATAAAAGAAATTCTAATAAACATTTTAACTTGTCGTAAATATTAGTACAAATCTCTCTGAACAAATTTAAGTAACAAATAGCATGGCATTTGAAAATAGATAGCTCACAGCAAATCAATTACAAGGTATGGAACTCAGTCATATTACAAAAGTAAAATCTTGTGCATTGCCTTGTCTTCAGTGCTACATGGTCGTCAGCTATTCCAGATGTCATCTTGTTGTTGGACAGCAAGTCTTCTCTTCTCTAAAATAACAACAAAACCAAAAATTTGTATGGATATGCACATTCCAGGCTTATTGGAGATGTGAGTTCTGAATTATATAAAGTCTCCTCACCTCTGGCTTCCCGTAAAACTCTTTTCTCCTCCTCCCTCTCTTGTCGAGCTGTAGGTAGTTTAACACCAAGTGCTCCAGTGACAAGACGTCGCGCAAGGGCAGCACAGGTCTCTGGGCGAGGTCGAAAAGAGTGGATGGACTCAGAAAGGCGTCGAGCTTTCAAACGTGATTCCAGTGTGGCATCACAAAGAGGTCTTGTACGAACCATTGGATGATGGTAGGCCAATACTTGCTCAGCTGCAAAATATTTAAATTGTGAATGATGTAACACCACAGCTATCTTTATTTTGGACCAAACATAGGTTTCAAGAGATCACTAAACTAAAGTCACTTACCAATTAGAGCACTGGCAAATACCCCTAGTGCATGAGTATCATCTACCCACTTTATCTCAAAACCTCCAGCCATATTTTTAAAAGGAGATAGAACGGCAACCAAATCAGGTGTTTTGAACTCAGGAGGAAAACTGGATATTTCTACAACATGACCAAAGTCATCATCCCCTGCTGACCGCCTTGTTTTTTGATGATCAGCAGGTACTTGGCTCCTGTAGTTGCGGTAATCTGATTTTGGTTGGTTGACTTGAACTTCTCCCACTGCACTGGTCAACTGGAATGGATGAATTTTTATAATAAATACACATATGTAGTGTACAGATAGTAGAAAATTAAAAGTGATTAAAGCTGATACCTCTTTCATTAAGAATGGATCAAGTACATCACCATCCTCATCCAGAAGAGCATCCCAATCACACTCATCTGGATTAAATACACGAGCAGGCTTCTCTGAAGATTTCTTCTTGGGCTCTGTCTTAACTGGTTTCATCAACTGAACTGGTGTGACATGGGCATTCAGAGAATCAGTAGAAGATAAACTCTCACTACTTCCACCACTAGACTGGTCGGATATGTTAGTCAAACCATTACACTTTCTTTCAGTATTTGTATCTTGATAGTCATCATCACTAGAGTCACTGCTACCTTGAACACATTTTATCTCTGAACTCTGAGAACTATCACCCCTCATAACTGATCCTTTATTGGATGGCAAAGAGTCTTTACTGACCGTTCTGGTAAGAACTGGAATACTAGTTTCCTGAAGCTTAGACTGAGGACTACCATCTAACTGAACAATATCACATTTATTTTCTTCACTGACTGAGCTGGTAACTTTCGTATCTATCACAGATGTAATTTCACTTTCACTAATCACTGTTAAACTATTTTTTGAGCATTTTTCGTCTTTATCGAAATGAGTTGAGGTCTCTTCAGAATTTACCCCATAATCTGCCGACAATTGTGCATTGATGTCTTGTTCAACCTCCTCCTTAGGTTTCCATTTAAAATCCTCTGTCAGTGAACTTGACTGACAAAGTTTCTTCTTCTTCTCCACAAGAACCTCTGCTCTAGGAGGCAGATTTAACGATTGTGAAGGATTCATGGTGGAAGATAATTTGTCACTTTCAGGCGGAATATTCCTACTAATTCCTTCTAAGTCCAGATCACTTGAAGTGGACTGACAAAGTTTCTTTTTGGTCTCAACAAGTTGAGACGCACGTGCTGGTAACCAGCCAGATGGACTTGATGATCTTGGTTTACACGATTTTCTATCTTCTATGATAAGATTTCCTGATCTGATCTTATCCCTACATGGCAGATCAGCTGATGGACTGGATATCCGTGGAGGCCGATTTTCCACTGATGATGGAGTTGGGTCCTCAAACCGTTCAGAGTCTGTGAAAGCTCTTTTTGCTCTAGGCACATAGACTTGTTGGTCAGGACGCCGTACTCTAGCCCTAGAAAATATATACATCTAAATTTCTTTCCAGAGATACAAAAAAAAAAAAATACAAAAAAAAAAATAAAAAATAAAAATGAACAGAGGTATACTTTACCTAGCAGGTTTAACTGCATCCTTGGCTGAAGACTCAACAATTACAGAATCTGCTGATGCCTTAGAGGAGTCCTCAGTTGATCTGCGGGCAGCAGGCGGTCGATAGATACCGATAGTGGGCAGTGAAGACCTTGATTTCCTCACTTGGGTACTACTAGTTCTCTCAGCATCACTAACAACCATCGTCAATTGACTCGGTACAGTTTCTGTCTTCACACTTTGCAGTGGTTCATCCTTTGACGCGTCAACCCTGAAGAAGTAACAAAAAACAAATTTTACATTTATTT